GTTTTGCGGGGTACCAGGGATTACTTTGTAGGTAAAGGGAATGAAGCATCCATAAGATTACTTTGTACTATGAGAATACGTGACCTTTGGGTATACACTGGCTGACAAGTCCCTGGTGAGGGCTCAGGTTTTTTTTGTTGTTGTTGTTTTGTTTTGTTTTGTTTTGTTTTTTTGAGTTGGAGTCTCACTCTGTCGCCCAGACTGGAGTACAGTGGCCACTTCCGGCCACCGCAGCCTCACCTGCTGGGCTCCAGCGATCCTTCCACCTCAGCCTTCCGAGTAGCCGGAATTACAAGCATGCGCTACCACGCCCAGATGATTTTTTGATTTATTGTAGAGATGAGGTCTCGCTGCCCAGGTGGGTCTCGAACCCGCGGGCTCAGGCAATCCACTCACCTCAGCCTCCCAAAGGCGCGGGATTACAGGTTGAGCCACTGAGCCCGGCTAGAGGGCTCAGTTTTGAAGGTGGCTGACAGTATTTACAATGAGTGGTTATTACTGTAGGCAGCTACTCATCTCTTTGCATGTTTCAATAAGAAAAACATGGTTTGGCCATCTAGAGGACATGGAAACACCTCTAAGGAAGTTTCCATGGGGGATGGGCTGATCACAATAAGAGTGGGCTTATTGGCATTAGATCACCCACCAGACTCAGGGGAATAATCCTACAGTGAGATGCACTATGGAAGCGTTGCACTGTTAAATCCCATGGCTTTTCCCTCTTTTGGGGGACCCAGGATTCAATGTATAAAACAAAATCCTTGATTTTGAGAGATCTAATTGTTCTGCCTTCCAGGTGCACTTGTTTTTCACATGTATGAGTATTAGGCCTTGGAAACTGAAAATATTTTGTTGGCCCTATTTGTTAGTGGGATCTACCCTGAGCCCAGTGATTTAATTGGATAATGGAGACTAAATTAGAAACTACCTATCTAAATGAAATTGGTCTCCTTATAGAATCCTGTGGTGAATTCCCATGATTTTATGTTATCGTAACATCAACTTTTACCTTCCACTAACACACCCAGACTCTTTCTTTAAAAAGCTTAAATTCTCCCTTTGTGCTTTGAGATGTAAATTTGCCACCTTGTTCTCACTAAAATTCATTAGGGCTTTGGCCATGTGAGAAAGATAAACTTTAACTTATTCCATTTACAAAGTATGAATTCACCTCTCCTTTCAAATTAGTGAGTTTCATGTGTCTCATGACTAACATGTAAAAATCAAAGCTATAAAAATCTTTTCTGTATTTTGATGTATATCTGTGTATGTATCTGTTTATATTCATTGTATTTGTATTAATGAATTGTAATATATTGAATATATGGTACCAAAGTGATTTATAAATAAATGATTGCTTTTAAGTTAATAAGCCCAAATATTTTCCAAGTTCCCACAACGTTGGTAATCATTGGTAAATAAAACTAGTTTTAAAAGTATTGGTAAGCCAGGCTTGGTGGCTCAGCCTGTAATCCCGCGCCTTTGGGAGACTGAGGTTAGTGGATTGCCTGAACCCGTGGGTTCGAGACCTGCCTGGGCAGCAAGACCTCATCTCTACAATAAATTAAAAAAAAAAATCAACTGGGCGTGGTAGCGCAGGCCTGTAATTCCGGCTACTTGGAAGGCTGAGGCGGAAGGATCGCCGGAGCCCAGCAGATCGAGGCTGCGGTGGCCGGGAGCAGCCACTGCACTCCAGTCTGGGAGACAGAGTGAGACTCCAACTCAAAAACAAAAAAAAGTATTGGTAAAATAAAATAGGAATGTTTTCAGAAATGTCAGTATTAAATATGATTCAGACATTTCACATTTTCTCCTGGATCTACTAGTCAAAGAGGTTTAGGCTATCTCTGCTAGATGTTTTAAGGTCATAAAACTGTTGCTTCTTGATATCTTTGATACACATTTTACTTGCTGTGAGCTTGTATCTTAGAGCAATTAGATTCTGGGCTATAAACATATGACCATAGTAAGGCCTGTGCCTCCTGGCTATGCTGGAAAGGGTCAGACATTATCTTCACAGTTACATCCGCTGCCCTGAGCACTACACTTGGTGTGTAAATTCAGGAAGAAGACAGGCCCTTCCCTTCATAGCCATCCCTGGGTGCCACATGAATAGTTAGAACCCAGGAACACTAGGGGAAGACATTAAAAAAGGCACCTGTGTCATAGTTCCAAAATTCTTTTCAATAATTAAAAAAAATGTTTTATGTTGGAGTCTCACTCTGTCACCCAGGCTGGAGTGCAGTGGTACTCTCTCAGCCACCGCAGCCTCGTCCTCCTGGGCTTAGATAATCGTTCCGCCTCAGTCTTCCAAGTAACTGAACTACAGGCACGCTCTACCACACCTGGCTAATTTTTTGGTTTATTGTAGAGATGAGGTCTCACCAAGTGGTCCAGGCTGGTCTCAAACCCATGGGCTCAGGCAATCCTTTCACCTCGGCCTCCTAAAGTGCTGGGATTATAGGCATGAGCCACCGCACCCAGCCTAATTTGAAATCTTAAGGTCGTGCTGTGTTACATTAAGTAATATATAATAATAAAAGGTCTGAGTCATTTCTAGATAAGTTAAAGTACTGAAACATTAATTATTAGACATAAGCTTAAGTTTATATACTTTGGAATCTTATTTTTATATGGTATGGAAAAGCTAAATATATTTAGATCTATTAATAAACTTTAAAAAAGGAAGAAACATCTCTCTAAAAAATTATGAAATGGGCCAGGCATGGTGTCTCACACCTGTTATCTCAGCACTATGGGAGGCCAAGGTGAGAGAATTGCTTGAGCCCAGGCGTTCAAAACCAGCCTGGGTAACATAATGAGACCCCATCTCTACCAAAAGCAAATACACACACACACACACACACACACACACACACACACACA